ATAAATGTTCTATTTTCTTCTTCCAATGGTAGAAGTTATTACCCCTAAACTTCTCAATCACTCTCAAATCTTCACCTTCACTTGAAGCAATGTCTAAAAAAGAGGTATATCAAAAAAAAATCAAGAAAAGAAAAGAAATATCTCTCAAAATCAAAAAGGTGTAACTGCCTTGAAAATCTAGAATACCTACTTTATAAATGAACTAATGATAGCACTCTTTAATCACTTTGAACTTCATTTATAGAACTTCTTACAATTCTTATACTCTATCTAAACCTCTTATATAAGCATTACTACTCTTTAATTACATCTCTTCTTTCATAAAATATTTCTAACCTTATAAAATATTCCTTATCATTATAAGAAGATCTCAAGGGAAGTTTATTACATAAAACCATAATATTAGATCACAATTGATATAAATCAGTAAAAAAATACAACACTAGTAGATACTCTTACTAACCACAAGGGTATCCTATGTCCAACACTAATTATTCTTATTTAATCTTTGAATATTTTCTAGTTCATACTTTAATGTCTTGACTTTGAGTCTTCTTCCTTAACTTCATCATATATTTATAAGATGCCTTTTTTAACCACCAAGAGTCAAACCTTTGACCATTAGTAATTTATCTAAGGTAATATCTTCTATAAGATAACTTATTTTACTTTCACTTTTATTTACTTACTTTAATAATTATCCATTTCAATATCTTATATTGATTATATTTTTTATTTAATTATATCTATTTTGTATTTAATTAGATAAATATATATATATATATATTATATATTTGAATCAAATATTCTTATTAATATGATTATTTTAAAATATTTTAAATTTTCAAAAAGCCTATCATTAAAGTTGTAATAAATTAAAATTAACACATCAATCCAAAAGTAATAAAATAAATTGCAAAAAATCCAAAATATATTTTAAATTTTAAAAATTTATAACATAACTTCAATAATTTAAGAATGATGATTTTAAATGATAATATATTTCATAATAAAAATAATAAAAAAATTCAAAAATTATTAAGATTGTAGTATTTAGAATATATAGTAGTTTTAAAATTATAATATAATTATATATATTATAAGTACTTAAAAATGTAAAAAATTTATGAAATATAAAAATAAAATTATATATATATATATATATACACATATTATTTTCTACTCATCACATTAAATGTTTTTGAATTTTTTAAAAATAATCTCTGAGGTTTTGTAAAACTTTTTGTTAAAAAAAACCTTTACTTAGGATTTTAAAATATAGTTTCAAAAGACCATTAAAACTTCCAATAAAAATTTTCAGATATATTAGTTGAAGCAAATTTGAAAAGAATTGAAGCTCAATCAAGTCCATATAAAGATTAGAAGTAAGAAAATCAAAGAATTTGTGTATATAATAAGTAGAGATTTTTTAAATATAGTAGTGCAAAAAAAATCTTTAAAGATTTGATAAGACACTTGAAACTTTTAATTACATAATAGAAAAATCAAAAAGGTAACAAAATTAAAAGATATTTGTAATCTAAAAACAAATCTATAATTTCTATACTAGTCTATGAATTTTTTTTAAAACTGAAATTAAAAATAGTTAAAAGCCTAAAATTTTGTCTTTAATTTTATTCTATACAAGATAATAGCATTTATAAATAAAAAAAATTGTTGAAACTATTTAATTTTTATAAATTAAAATATGATATTTAAAAGATAAATAATAATAATAATAATAAAGGTTTGCATCTAAACTATATAGAACTCAAATTCATTAAAATGCTTCATAATATCAATTAAATATATTAAATTTTAACTTTTAAATAAGCTCTTAAAAATATTTTTTTTAATACTTTTCTATTTTTTCTACAAATGAATGTAAAGAGATATATTATTTTTTATTAAAATTCAAAAAAAACAATATATTTAGTTATTATATTCTATTGCATTATTATACACTACTTATAAAATTTATATTTAATAAGTTCAAAGAAATTTACAATTGATACTAAATAAGATGATTTATTTAGATGAAATAAAAATTTCATATTAGAATATGACTTGGTAATCCAAGAAACCATAGACTAAGTAGAGACTTCAAAACAATCTTTATTTTTACTTAAAATTGATTTTTACAATGCATATAACATATTATGAAAAAAATTCTTTCAAGATATAAAAAAAATTAGAATTTTATGCTTTCTTTTTTTCAGATTTAAAAAATTATACTAAGAAAAAATTAAAATTAAAATATTTATTTGCAAAAATAAAATAAAATAAAATAAATCTAATTAAAATGACTATTAAACAAGGTTTTTTGTTGGCTATACATTCTAGAGTTTAAATTAATAGATTTTATGTAAATATTTTGATGATTTCACCATTACTAGTAAAATTAATCTTTTCAAAAAATATTTAAATTTTACTTTACATCTTCAAACATTTCAACTTAGAATTTAGATTAGAATTGAATTAGTTAAAGTTTGCAATTTATTGGCAGTATAAGAAAACAAAGAGATTTCTTTGGACTATTAATTTTGAATAGATATGGACCTCTTGTAACAACCTGAGCATAATTTTAAATATTAATATTAATATATATATATATTATACACTAAAGATATTCATAATTTTTTTTATTAATAGAATAATATGTAAGTTGAACCATTTGTAATCTATTCAATTTAATATGATAAGATAAGTTATAGTATTGAATAGTATTCTTATTTTATTTCTTTATTTCTTTGTTTCTATTTAGATAGGATCTTTAATAGCTATTTGCAAAGTTATAAAACAATAATAAGTTTCTAACAAAGGTACACTTTGTCTTTAATCCAATACAAAATCTCTTAGTTTATTTGTTACCAATTACAAAAAGTAAAGTGGTTTTAAAGTTATTGACCATAAAAAGCAACAAAAACTCTTTTAGCTAAATAGATTGTATGTGCTCTATAATTTAGAAATATAAACATGCAATAAATTCTTAGATTAAATTTGATGTATTTTATATCAATTGTAGATGGAAAGTGGTAGTTGGATTTTATGTTGACTTTAACACCCATCCGTAAGTAGAGAATTAAGTAAAAAAACCACAATAAATCAGGAATAATATAGACTTTATTGGTTTTTTTCTGATTTTTAATTTTTAAATTATTTTTATAAAACTTGGAATTAATTCCTAAAGTAAGATGTAGAGTTTTTGTTTTCTTTTCAAATATTAAAAATAATTTTAAAAATTTAATAATCCCCACTTACAAGGTCTCTATAAAAATAAATATTTCTTAAATGATTATAATCATCTATTATCTTTTAACTAAACAAGAAAATTTATAAGTTAAGTCTCTATAATACATACCTTTAAAGTTATTTTCATTATTTTCTTCTGAGATAATATTTTACAATGATACATGAAAAAAATATTAATTCTAAAATTAAATATTAGACCAGTCTTTTTAATAAAAAATTATTATTTTACTGCTATAGTTTTTTTTTATTAAATTACTTAATATTTGAAGAAAGAAGATATATATTTCAAAGTGCATAGATTCACCAAAATATAATATATTGTATCAATATTTTAATATAAAATATTATATTATTATAAAAATTTATTGTTTAATCAAAAATTATTAATCTCAAAAATCTTTAAAAATATTTAAATAGAAGTTTTTTTAGAAAAATTTGAATAATTCCAAATCCAAAAATTAAAAATCTATGCAAAGTAAGTATCAAAATACTCTTTAGTTTTGTTAAAACATTTTTATTTGATCTTAATCCTTCTATAAATTTATTAGGGACATAAAATTTAATAAAAATAAATAAATAAAAATTAATCTTGATTTGCAAAAATTATTTTGAATTGATTTTAGATATTGCCATTGAAACCAATATTAGTACTGAATTTTTCTTCAAGCAAATTTTTGAATACTTGTATACTATTTAGACTAAAAAATTATATTTGAGATTGAAGTATAAAATAACTTTTAAATTGAAAATTAAATTAATTATGATTAATTAACTATAATCAAATGATTTAGAAAGTCACATGAAAAAAGGTACAAAAATAACAAGACAACAAGGTAATATTTCTCAAGAGATGGAACAAAACATAGATGACAAGAAATATTATTGGAGTGAGATCTAATTTGATAATTTAATGAAATTTTAGATAGTCTAAAAACTTAGATGAATAGTGTAACCAAGATTCCTACATTAGTTTGTTGCTCTTATATTTGCCTCAACAAGAAATACAAAATATAAACTTCTTTTCCATTGTATTTTATCACATTCAATCAAAATATTACTTATACCCTTTGGTGTAAAAAAAAAAAAAAAAGAAAAAAAAAGAACGGAAACAAACATACAAACAAACTTTAACTGTGGCAACACGATTGCGTAAAGTATGTTGCAACAGTTAAGGTTTCAAGTTGGAATTGTCCATAATCAACCGGAGCCTGACATTTGTGATTTGGTCCCACTGCAAATGGGAGCCACCCGAAGCTCTGTAACGTGACACCCAGAGACGCAAAAGCTGCAGAATCTCCAGAGCATGTACCAGAAAACGCATATCTCCTCGGATATGACGAGGAGTTGTGCGTGCACAAAAGCGTTTCCAACTCATTCTGTTACCTGCTCGCACGCCAAAATTTGCAGGGCAACTGAAGTACACCTGAGCTTGGTCGGATTGAGGAGTGCTTTTGGACAGACCAGGTTCACTCTCACACGAAACTAAAAAAAAAAGCCATCATAGAGCTCAATTCTATATCAGTCTAGAAAGCTCTGCAAGTGATCTAGCTCGCAATGTCGGTGGCATGAATGTCTTCCACAGCGTTGTTTTTGGGACTGCTTTTGTCTGGATTTGCTCAGATATTATGTCACTGGAGTTGCTCAAAACTCTGGGTTGCAGAAACTACGCATATCCAACCTTATCAGATGCTTACAAAAAAGACGGTAGTCCAGCACCAACCTTGCAATTACCCACCGCCGGTCACATGTCTACTCAAATGCAGCCTCAATTCAAACCAGTAAAAGGAGTTTTGTAATGTCGTGAGGTTCAGCACAAACTTTCAGAAACGGCGCATCGGAGATGCGGATGCACATGACAACACATTCTGGGCCCAATTCGGTTAGAATGTCCCCCGAGTAGTAGAGGTCATCGGACTACTTAGATCCATATAAGAGAGACTAGGGAACATCTTGACGAAGAAATTTGTAATTTCCTTAATCAGAGCATTTGAAGCAAGAAGCCTCCAAGTTCTCTCCAGTCACTCAATTTCCGCTTTTGAAGCATTAATCCTTGTTTTCAAGTTTGTGTAGCAGTCCAATACCGTGATTCCTCAGCCTTCCCATACTCTGACAAATTTCCTGCCGATTGGCTGTCATCACCTCCCCTCATATCAACCCAACGTTGCCTTCAGGATCATCAGTTGTTGGTTGTGGTGGGACTGCTGGGACCTCGGTGATGTGTTTTTGTGCTGCTACTTGGAGTTGCTGAGTATAATGCTGTGGCGGTTGCATGGGTGGCAGGAAAGGAATCTACAAACACAAATCATCTCAGTCCATAATGTTGAAGAATGTGGTACCCCCTGTAGAGCATGTAAATCCTGGATAGTACTCCTAGGAATAGACTAGCATGATGCTACCTGTGGATACAAAACCAAACACCTCAATCATGACTGCAAACTCCAGACGGTCCACCTTTCTGAGAAAGATCAAATGGAATTGAAAATACACTGTGAAACAACACCCAGTCCAAATGAATATCCAGGAAATTAATCAAGCAAGAGCCGGACTGGCCACCAAGCCGAGATTTGACTTACTCCAAGTTGCGCATCTGCGATGGCTGCAAGGTACTTAAGATTCTGCTGCAACTTTGCTTGATACCTGCAGATAGAATAGGGCAAAGATTACTTCAGGCTCTACTTACGTCAAGATTGTTTCTCAAACATATGATGGGAAATCCCACGTGTGAGTCCATAGCAAATAAACAAGAGAAAGAAATAACTGTAATTAAGAGAAATGAGAACACACAATTGCCGCATCGCTAAGTGATGACATCTTTCATGCCTTCATGAAATTCTGTTGACAGATCAAATGGCGGGAGTTAGAAACGTATAAGGCACTCTCGTTCAGGTTGCTCTGATTCTGTTTGTACAGAGTCGCAATAATCAGTTGCATGTTCTCATCCAGATACTGCACGCAGAAGGAAAGGATGAGTCCAAGATCCAGAATAATCTCCTCAGTCCTGTTACTCAAAACACGATCTACGTTTCACATGGGGCAAACTACGGTCCATGAAAGATGGTAACTCTCAGACCGCTATTTTGTTTTAAATTTAGAAAGATAATCTGCTTCATCGAGCAAGGCCTCAGAGTTCAACAGCCATTACTCCACGCGACTTCCATCTCCGCAACGGTTTTGGGACAACAATGGGTTGTTCCAGGAACTGCAAGTTCAGCCGCTGGTTGCCCGCAATGACCTTAAACTACCTAAGGATGGCGGGCTGGTACCGACAGGTTGGCGGTGCAAATCCCAGCTGTGAAATATCCAACTGACATATGCGACTCTGCTTGAAGCGAGAACCTAGCACGGAGATAATGACTCTCTGATGTTTCAAAAAAAGAAAAAACTTCAGCCGCTGGTATAAAATCTGTATAGTCAAACATTGTCATGAGTTGTCTGCCATTCAAAGAGTTACATTACATTGTCGACTCCATGCGAAGCCTCGTCCGGAAAGTATCGTATACTCCACTAAACAAATTACTAATAAATTCGAACTCCAGAAGCGAAGCATTTGCCAGAATAATGTTTTATAAATTGCAGTGATTGCCACATCATTGCTTATCTTGTGCGTACCCCCAATTGATTTTCCAAATTGATAATATCAAAACGTGCTCTAAATCGTTAACTGCGCCAACACGACAGAGACTCAATCGAAAGCAAAAATCGTAGTGTATCCAAAAATTCCAGACGTCAGGTCAACAACCTTCTGGATGAGCTCAGTGGATATCGAATTCCCAGAATACGACGCCATTTGTTGTCACAGAATGCGCAATTTCCAAGACAGAAACCCCCCCCCCCCCCAGAAAATCCCCTTCCCTCCAGTTCAATCACTACCCAAGGTACTATTACTTCTCCTCGCTCGTGGAGGAACCGCTCCAAACCATTCCACTAACAACCCTAAGTCCGCATTACGATCCAATTATAGAATCATCAACAGTTCTCTAAAGGGCGAGAAAAAAAAACGGAAAACATACCACCGATTGACGGAGAACACGAAGCCGGTTTTGATTTGACGTCTCTTATTTCATAATTCAATGCATGCTTGATAAATCAGACCAGACACAGGCTGCATTTTCCACCTTCACGAGGTTTCGAAGTGTGCAACCATTCCCTAGACGGGATTGGCAGCGCTCATGCTCGTAAAGCACGTTGAGGAGACGATTGAGGATGAAATATCTTTCTCCATCTATGATGGATGGATGAAGAAGGTCAGGGAAGTTAATAATTAAATTATAAAAAATTATAAAAAAAACTTATTTATGAATGTATTTTATGAAATATTCTATAACTTTTTTTTTATTTTTAAGAAAATAGAAGCTGATGTTTATAAAAGTTAGTAAATTAATTGTTTCAAAAAACTAAATAAATTTGACATTATTTAATTCAAATGCATTCATCTGCATAGAATTACTAAAGAAAAGTTTTGATTAAATGAAAAACATATATAAAATATAAAATTTTCAATAATTTTCCAAAATTTAGATTCAATCTTAATCTATTCTAATAGTAAATTTTCTATTATCATTCATATGAACCACCACTCTAACCTCAATTCTAGAAACTTCCCAAAAACAACTCCAACTACATATTTCTATGTATGAATAATACAAATATCTTATCTTTGCCCTGTTACACCTATAGTCTTTTCTTTGGCTAGGTTTTTAGCTACTCTAAATAATTGCTATATTAAAAAAATTAAATTAAATTAATTTTTTGTCTTTCTAATCTTAGCTTGAATATTTAGTATCAAGGATTTAATAATTTTAAGTCTTACTAAGTAGTATATAAAATCTTTATACAAATTTGTATAGAAGTCTCAACATACATTTTTAAAATCTTCTCAACTATTCATCTTATTATTTTTGTAATTGTGTATTAGAAAGATTTTAAATATTTGATATATTTTCTAAATTGCTAAGAAAATCCTTAGAATATTTTTTATTACAAATTTTTTAAATTATTCTTAATTTTACTTTTATTCTTTTGTAATAAAACTTATCACAAATATTTAGTATTGTGTAAGATTGTTTATGTTTTTACTAAGCACTTAAAAATTATAGCTTAATTAAAAGATAGGTTGTATTGTTATAAGTTTTGCATTTAATACTATTTCTCAAAGATTGTGCCAAAGACCAAATTCTTAATACTTAAACAAATATTTAGAACTCTTGAAAATGATAAGTCTTTATCTTGTATATCAGCCATCTTGGAAGAGTCTCTAATATAAAAATATAAAAATTCAAGGTACATGTGATCTAATAAATCTAATACTCTTCTAATTTCATACAAGAATACATTATTGTATTGTAAGATGGTATTTTTTAGTGGGATCTATTTAACTTTATAAATATCTAAATTTCAGCTTCTTGATTTTTCTATGAAAAAGTTGAATATTTATTAAGAATAAAGAATCTTCTAGTTAAAATCTTATTTTGAATAAAATCTATTTTTTTATTATTTGCTAACATTTTCTTAAATAAAATATTTATTGCAAGAATATTTTGTTGTATTCTATTTCTCTTTACTAATCTATAAAACAACACTAAGTAATGATTTTATTACACCTATAACTTGCTGATTTCTAAGTATTTTTTAGATGCAAATACATATAATATTGCTAACTTATATGTCTTAATATTTAAAAGTATAATTCAAAGAACATTCAAATTTAATTGAAAAAGTTGAAAAAAGTTAATTGATTTGATTTTTACAGGTGACGTAAGTTCTAGTATGTTTCAAGCAAGCATTCTATCAAAGCCATTTGTTCTAGTAACTATTTATGTCTTTCTAGAACTATGGTTATTGTAATCACTTATTTCTCTTACATAATGTTTTTGTACTCTATCAAATAATCTATCTGATTAATTTTCTTTTTCATTATATATTGACTAGTTATATTTCAAAAAATTATGTTATATGTAAAATAAGGTACTAGATATTTTGTTCATTTAGGCTGCTCCCTTTACTTGCATTGGATTTGACACTATGCCCTGACACTTAGTACGCAACTTGCTATTTACTTATTAATGCTACTCCTGAGACACATATTCACATTAATCTTGAGTACAAGTTTATTAGCGAGAACAATTCTCTATTCTTGGTCCAGATGTATTGTTGGTCATCTGTACATTATTGTCTTTCCTTGCACCATAATTGTGTTTCCTGAAAGTCGATCTTTGGATCGAAATTGCAGAAATCAATCCATGTGTACATGTACATTTCCTAAAACCTTACAAAGATTAAATTATTTTTATGTATAATAATTGTCTATAGCAGACAACCTATGTTAATGCTGTATTAGACACGATGAGGCATTCAAGAATTAGCATGCCATTTTGGCAATGATGTTAATACAAATCATGGTTTATGGCTTACGATTATTTGTTATTAAGCTAGTTGAGTTAAGTGGTCCTGTTGCATTTCGAACCATATTACTCAGCTTGAGACTTCATTTTTTGTGCTTTTCTAGTTTGAAAGAGAGGTCTTACATCCCGATGTTGAACAAAGAACAACCCCTTCAGTCTGTGTCAACACCGATGATAGCAATCCTTCAGAGGGCAGTATCACTGTCTAATAAATCAAGCACAAAGAGAAACCAGATGGGTAATTTTGCACATGTGGCTTGAGCAGGTGGTTCCAGGAAGTGGTCGGAATTCAAGGGTTCCAAACACTCCTCGAGTTTAGAGAGATCAGAGGCTAACTGCATGACACTAAACCACTCAGCCAACGAGTTTACACCGCACTGCAAATGGTCATCAGAACCAAAAGCTCGGTTTAGTTGTTCATCACGGTGGATAGTTGGACACATGTTTCTACTGGACAGAAATGTGAAACTCGATGTAGGTATGTACCCAGAGAAGACCAATTTGTTGAGTAAGACTGTACGGTGGGCTGCTCAGGTAACCGCAACAGGAATATTGGTCTCACAGGCTACATGTAGCGTTCAACCTTCCATTTCTCATCATAGCAATAATACAGCAATGTATAAGGATCACTCAGTACTTCTTAGAGGTTGAAACCCACACCTGGCAAAAGCCTTTCGGAGGATTGACAGATAATTTTTAGTCATCTTCGTGATCCAAAACGACTCAAAAACACGAACCCTACATTGTAGGGTGACCTCAGTCACATGGAGTGAGCAGCTCCGCAAAAGGAGGTGGGAGCTGATAAACGTATATCACAAGCGAAAGGATGTGTACCAGCTTGACATAGGTGAGGCCCCTATCGAAGTGAGACTTATCCGTCCTCATCACCGAGCTCAGTATCTGAAGCCGGGTACGGATTCTGGGAAGACGAAAACAAAGCTCGATGAACACGAGTTTGAAAAAACGCCAATATAGATTCCGACGAGATATCTAACAACAATCGCATACATTGCACACAACCAACAAATTGCAGAACAAACACCACGATCACTACCACGCATGGAGGGATGCAGGGAACATGTATGGCAAGAAAGTATTTCGAAGGTCAGGATTGCGACTCATTATAAAGTAGAAGACCGTGGCTAGGGTGATGGAACTATGATTAGGGTTAGGGCTAGGGTTTCGACGGGGGCGACGTGGTATGGTTCCCTGGCCAGTGACGCTGCTCCGCTGAGAATATCCTTGGAAAGCTCTGTGTGAATAGAGTTTTTTTATTTGTTCTGAAAATCTTCATTCCATAAAATGCTAAATGCTAGTAAAATAATTAATGGATTTCACTTCTAATGGTACGATAAAAAAGCTAATGGATTTTAAGTCGTCTAGAAAAAAAATATTTGTGGCATCAGACCACGTTCAATGAAATGTGTAACTGCTAGCATTGATTTGTCAAAATATTAGAACTCACTTCACATGGTTTTGATTAAAGCTGCCTTGTGTGACACAGTATTTGAAATCGATAACTTGAATTTTGTATGAATGAAATTAAAAAATAAATAAAATAGGTGAATAATTTTTGTTATAATTTTTTCAAAGAATTTTGTGGAAAATAATATGTGTGCAGCATATTTTTTCAAGCTTTCTTTTACAAACTTTATTATTAACTCTTTGAGATGCAGGGTATTGTATGTATTGCTCTTTAATGTTTTTTAAAATATAGCCAAATATTTCCACAAAAATTACAATACAAATCATTTAACCCTTATATTCAGTAACATTAAAATTGGAGGCTAACACTCATTCAGTTGTTAAAATGCCACCTTTAATAAGAACCAAAAAAACGAAATTTTATTTGAGACTAATTTGTTGTTGCTTTGTGTGTTTGTGTGTGTATATGTGTATATATATACATATATAAGATTTTGAAGCAGCTAATATATGTAAATAAATACATACGGTTTTCTAAACTTACTAAATTTTGTCACGACAAATTTGCATTAAGTAGTGTGCATTATTAATACTGATTATTTAATCACAGTTGGAATGATAATAACTATAACAATGATAATTATGCACTAGTTGTTTTTAGCTCTTGAGGGTTGCAAGACGGTGATGTTATATTGTCAAAAACATTAAAAAAAAACTTGGACCGAAAATCCCACTACATTTCCAGGTCAATCTTGTCTTAGTCATTCACAAACATATTTTTTCAATGATTTATCTTGAAAATTAATACAACTAACTACATTCTCTAATTTTGTTGGAAAGATTCTAATTATTGATTTTTATGTTGGATTTGGAGAAAGAAGTCAATTATGTCGTGACCAAGGATGTTTCGTAGCTGAATGCTGCATTTTATTTAATGTTTTTGAACATAACATGAAAGCAACTTAATTTTAATGCAAGGAGTCAAAATTTTCTTAGTCAACTGATATCTTTTCAACGATATACGTTGCGTTTACTAAACATGTGTTTTCATATTTATGGATATTTCAAATTTAAAGTTTCAGGAGATCCCACACTCAAAAATTCTGCAGGCATGGAGCTCCCTTCTATCTCAAATTCCTAATGTGCTTGCTTGATCACAAAAGCCGCACTTCGGTAAGTCTGGGCAACGAGAAACTACACCAGACTTGACCCCAATATGAATAAATGTTCTTTTACAAGAGTTCATCCAAAGCAGGAATAGGGGCAGGTCCGACATTCTTCGACATGGCCCCTTTCTTTGGGCAGCGGCATTGTTGAGCACGATGAGCCTTGACAAAGATTCTTGAGCTCTAGGTAGAAATTGTGATGGAAACTAGAAGTCATGAACTGTCGCAGAAGCAGACTTCATTCCGATGTAACGTATTTATGCATTTCAACATCACAACATTGGGGCGGGGATATCAAACTTAGTTTGGTTTGTGCTGTGGAAGAAAAGGGAGGCTTAGATCTAATAGAGCCATCACCGAACTCATAAATTGCAATTCGCGCAAAAGACGAATGAAACACGTACCAAATACAATGGTAATATAAATCTGGAGCTTTGCATGTTAAAATCATCTCGTGAGCTTAGAAGAGTGAGTTTGACAGGTAGCGCAATTCAACACTGCACAGACGTCTTCATTGTCGCAATTTGACGCTTTCAAAATTCTACGGAACTGGAACTTGACACAAAACAGAAAGTTCTCACGACACCTCTTTTGTTTCGACTGCTTCAAAAACCTTGAAGTATGGAGGAACACAAGATAAGTGGAAGTTCCAATGAGGACGCAACCCCTTCCGAAGATTCCAAACCCAAAATTTTGCGACTACAAATGTTTAGTAGGAACCTCCCTCACTATCCAACTCAAGCGCACATATCGTGGTCAGCTACCTACACAGTTCAAGCAGCTACACGACCATGTAAGCGAGCCACCCTTCTTACTACAAAAATCGGCACAAAACTCTTAACTCGACTGTGCGAAAGAACTAAAGAGGAGAGAATCAGTCTGAAAAGAAACACAGAAAATCAGACAGCTTATCATCTCTCCGAAATCAGCAAACTAGACCAAAGACATTGCAAATGCCTTCGTGTCAGTAATGCGCACCAGCCTCTGCAAAATCGTGAACTGTGCGACCATGGGCGATAGGTACTTAATTGAGAGCTCCGCTGGCGATGGTTTATTACACTTGTTAGACGATGCAGAATCGTTTTGATTGCTCACTGAGTTGCAGTCGATACCCAGACCATGTCGTTCTGGGTGCTCCAGTGGCACGCCTCGGCGCCACGAGGGATGTTCAACGCGGTGAACGCTGGGTGTTCGGATGCCCACATGCTGGTGTCGAGATGGCAAATGCCGACGGCGTGGATAACGCTGTTGTCTTGAGCGCGCAGGGATGCCTGTACTACCTTGGTTCCAGAAACGTGATGGCAGTAATACAATGCTGAAGGGAACATTATAGTGTGGCAAATGATGATGTGATCACCTTCTGTCAAACTTCGCTTTGTCACAGTCTCAATCTTCACAGGCGCTTTGAGATGGGGAGCTTCGGTAGGGGAGCCTGAGGTTGAGAGAGCTTCCACTTCGGAGCCCAGCTGCGAGGAGACGAACTGGGCCATTGCTGCAAGAGTGATGGGGCATTCCTTGTCTTCTCCGGGGAGCGCCGGGTTCTCGCACAGATACGCTGCGGTTCCCATCATTGTGGACATAGAGGCCTTGTCAGCAATGTTAAACATTTGTCTGAGCTTTGGCAAGTTCGCCGTTGTTAGAGAAGGTAGACTGTCGGCAACAACGCGGGGAAGGAAGGGGCGTGCGGGGATTGGGTCATGGAGATTTTCTGATAGTTGCATCTCGCCGCCAACGAAGAGGTTTTTCTCAAGGAAGAAATCGAACTGGAAATCGTTGATGGTCTTGATAGCGGAAGCTCGGGGAGCAGCTTCGACCCTCTCGAGACCATAAGAAGCAATTTGGACATGGCTATCACAGACCAGACTTGCTGCATTGCAAAATTCAGCGCTCACTTCTGGGAACACCGCACCCCGGGAGACTGCATTAGCGAATCTTGTAGCAATTGGAGAATCTTCCAAAGGGGAAACAAGTTGACGCAAGGTATCAGGAAGGACAGCAATAGGTAACACAGAATTCCACAGTGTTACCGAGGAGTTCGCAGCCGAGCCCAATGTCCACACACTGACCTGCAAAACGATTCCACTGGTCTTTCAAAAAAACTGTCTACCCTCTGAATACAAGCATGTGATAAACATCGCAATGCAGACAGTCGACATTCTAGAGACAAAACATTTTGGGCTGCTGATGAGAGAAGGACTCTCTTCTTGAACGGTTTCCATCATCAATAAAATTTCACCTCGCAACTGCGTGGATGTTCAAGAGCTCAGAAAATCGAGCATTGCCTAACATAAAAAAGAAACAGGTTCCGATTTTGATTGTTAGGAATCGATTTGCCGTAGCTCTCATCTGAATGTTCATTAATCTGCTGGACGGCGTCTGGGAGGTAAAGATTAACCCTTGCCCAAGGAATGCACATGCACAACCGGAAGAGAATGGAATTTCAAACCTGTGCTACACATGACGACGTTCCCCAAATTAGACACCAAACTCGTCGACACATGTATTCTCCAAAGATATGCTTACCAGGGTGAACAGAGCCAAAGCTGCTGCATGTATGGCCATGGCCACCAGCTCACAAATACTGACTCAAAACTATTCTCCACTGAAACTGAAGCACAGTCGAGCAGCAACCGAAATCCGTTTGATGGACCGTAGACTGTAATTGTGCACTCGGGTAGTAAGAGTTGCAGGAAGTAGGCGAGGAGGACGACTATATGTAGCTGCCAGCAGCAGGCCTTCGCCTCTACCGAATCCCAGATCCACCAACACGATGATCCCATCTACCAACGATAGATTCCTCATCTCCAGCTCTTACTCAGGAGAGCGCCGCCACAGCAGAGATGAACGAAAGGGGCTGAATCCTACTCGCGCTCTGATAGATTGGCAGGAAATTTTGGCCACGCTGTGCATCTGATGAACCACATTGTCCTTGATGGTGGCCTTCCATACTGAGGAAGCTTGTCATGAAGCTACAACACTTTCTGCAAGGAATATTCCAGATTTCTATAATTGCACCAAAAAGTACTGGCAATGTGCTTGAGCTCTGGCCATCTGTGCACACAACGCAGCATCTTGTCATACCACTCTTTTTACCCAACTGCGACCCGTTCCTCAAGAGCCCCATAACTACTACGTTCACTCTCTCACAGGTCCATGAAGCCGACACTAACTCGAAGCTCCTGAAGCAAGCTCCCCATCCAACAGGAGGGTGTATCCAAGGGCATCCACTGTCTTGCAAAATCCAGATACACTGCCAAGTACACAGTCATACAGGCAAAAGGTTACATGGCCCAGAATCCAGATACTCACACAATTGTACAAAGTAGAAAGAAGAGGAAGAAGAAGAAGAGGTGCTGCTGCTGCTGCTGCTGCTGCTGGTGATGGTGGTACTGTAGAGAGAGGTCCCTGTAGGAAGATAACTCCCTCAGCTACCCCATGATTACAAGAAGCCACTAATGTGGAACCCTAATTCTGTCCACATTGGAAAGCCATCAATAAGGATGGTTTTCCAGTGTACAAAGCATTTGCCACATTGCTAAAGCTTGGCTGTGAAGACTCATGCTCAATACTGACCCAAGGCATTATGAAGTGGGAAGTTGATTGCACATGTGATATCCATACCCATTCAAGATACCCTCCTCCATGGAAACTCCATCAATTAGAACAACAATCATAAGAACTATTCTTTTTGACATTCCTCTGATGGGAGCAAATGAAGACAGAGAGAGCACAAGAGAAAGAGAGACTTAGTTATGAAAGGTTAGTTCATGTGCATCTGTAGACCTTATTGGATTTGCAAAGGAAAAAAGATGGTTCTTAAAATATCACACCTTTTCCTTAAGTGTGTGAAAAAAATGTATGTAAATATATTTACAAGTGTTCTGATACCCACTTGGAAGTTCTATTTGGAGAGAGGGGGGGGGGGATTTTTCAGCCCCCTATCTATGATTGATTAAGTTGGTCACAGCTGGGCTGTCAATATAGGTGGCCCCTTGTGCTTGTGAATGGTGACATTTGAAGGGGAAAATGATTCCCCATCACCTCCTTGACTACTACATCCACCAACCCCAATGCCCTACTTTTTCTCTCTCTCCATAGCTCTCATATCTCCCAAACAACTGGGTCTCTCTCCCTTCCTTTTTTGTCTTTGTGCCTCCTCTCTCCATCAAGAGTGAGAGTGAATGAGACCCTTAAAGTAACTACCACAGTGGGTGTGTGTGTGTGCTATTGATGGCCGTGGATATGCACAGGGGGCCACACCACCACTAAATTGGGACACGTCGTCACTAGAAAAAATAAAATAAAAGATCACCATCATCCATCATACATCATCATTAAACAACATCCATCATCACTGTAGTAATCACCACCATCATCATTGGGTTAAAAGAAAAATAACAGAAGGAAGGAGAATAACAAGAATAAACACAAGAGTGAAAAAAAAAAAGTATTTAATTATTTAATTTATTTTGCATTGAATTGTGTGCTTTCATTAGACTGCATCCAAACAAGAAAATAGATTGGAGGATAACTTTGATCCACTATTTACGGATTGTTGCAATTAAAATAACTTTGTGGAAAAAGTCATAATCCAAACAAGGGGGGAAATTTAAATGCAAGTGTTTTTTACTTTTTTTTCTTCCAAAAAAACATATCAGTAACATAAAATTATCTCTAAACTTAGCTAATTAGAGAATTATATTCCGTGGATTATTGCTCACAAAATTGCCTTTAAATAGAGGGTATTAGCTCTTACTTGCTTCTTGTTTAGTGCCCTTCAAACTCAAGGATACAAAATGGACAAAAAAAAGGGGCCAAAACTCTTCATGTTAAGGATGTTACTTGACTCACTTAAGGTATTAAGATTAAATCCATGTAATAGTAGAAAAAATGTGTTTGAATTTGATTATTAATTTATTTCATAAATATGTTATTATAAGATATTATATTTTCATTTGAATTACATTCAATACTCTTCTTATCCTTGGATTTTTATTGTTACCTTTGGATAACCAAGGTAAGTGGATCCACTAAAAAAACTAGACTTGTCGAAATGCACGAATTGAATGAACATTTAAAACAAATATACATCCTTCATAACTTCCAACTTAGAAGTAGTTTCTTGGTGGTTCTGAAAATAAAAATTGACTGTTTACAAAAATGGTTTAGTTCTCTATAAATGTGAGACATAGAATAGGATGTGGTCAAATTTGCAATCCTTTAATAAGTATTGATTTCTTTCTTGGACCATCTTCTTCTTCATCTCTTATCATATTACTTCTTACTATGATTCTAAAGAAAGCCAATATTCATTAACATGAAAGGAAACAAGAAAAAGAGAAAGAATGAAAAATATTATATATTTTTCAACTAATTTTTATTATTTTATTAATACTAATTTTGTTAACCTACTGATAGCACATTGTTTAAAAAAACATGCAAAAAACATGCAAAAAACATGCAAAAAACGTTCTGAACTATTTTAAAGATTCTTAACTCTACATCTATTCACAATATAATTCTGAATGTAAATTTACATCATAAGAAATATGTTGTGTGTGTGTGTATGAAACAAACACACATATAGACCAGACCAGAGCACCAACACACATTCTGATATAACATTACTAATTTGAAATACATGTGTTTTATATCAATTACACACAACAAATACTACAGCTATTACAAAGCCCCTCTACTACGGTTCCACCTTAGTTCAATGATAAGTTTTTATTTCCGTGTTTCCATAGTATCCAATTGAAACATCAATCCCCAGCCCTAAGAATAACGATCGAATCAGAATACCAGGGGGTAACATTTAACCCACCCAAGGGCGACCTTGTTCCCCTCAAAGGACCGTGTCTCCCGAACCGGACCAAAGGGCTGAGAAGGGAGGGAAAGCTGCCGTCACCACCAAGCCGAGGCCATGAGGGCAGAAAAGCGTTTCTGTCGCGTGGGTGGTCCAGCTCAGACGCACAAGGAGGGCCACGTATACAGAAAGGGGCTGAGGTGGAGGGGTGGGGTGGCAGGGGGGCTGAGGGAGAGCGAGATCCCTGGCGGGAGCACAATCTACGTGCATGGCGAGGGTACAGACTTATAGTTGGAGGGGAGAGAGACGATGGCCCCTGTCGTACTGAAGGGCGATCTGAATCTGAAGTGACAGGGATATGGCAGCCGATGCTGATGGCCGCAATAATGCCTCACACAAACCCCCGGGTACCGTGCGTAATTCCGCTGGCACATGTAAATTGTACAGGTCGTCTAATCATGGAAACATCTTTGTGGAGATGTGGACAGAGTCCTAATTCTGTGCTGTCCTTGCAATGACAGTTAAGGGTCATTCTTAAGCTAAGGTTACGCCCAAGGTATTTTTTTGGGTAGGTTGGGTTTGGAGGAGGAGGAGCCCTTTGTGGGTGGAGCTGGTCCCTCAGACTGGATGCTTCTCCAGGCCAGGCCTGGCAGCAGTTGCTTTAAGTAGCAATTGGCATTGAGGAACTGGGCCTGAGAACGCACCAGTCTGATCGAAATCCGAAAAGTGCGGGAAGTATCAATGGATGCCTGGCACCGGCGGGAAGCCGTTCGCCAAAGTCCAGTGCCAGGCGGTCATTCCAACGATCTCCACCGTCCATGATCCGGATCCGGCGTTCCCTTGCCGTGGTTTGAAGCGCCAGTGTGGTCTAATAGATAGGTTGCTACATAGATACGACGGTGGATTTGAGGCAGAGAGAATGTTCATTGGGTTCTCCACTGGGATTGAAGTCAACTAGTGAGCTTGTTGAGTTGCTTCATCATTCACAGGCTCAGGAATTGTCAGTGGGGTATTGTACATCCCACACCATGCTCAATGAATCTGAAAAAACTGTGAAGATACTAGATCAGTTTGGCAGAGCCCCTACTGTTCAGGCTTAGGTTCTCGAATTCAGTGCCGTGCTTTGCCCTGTGAATGCGTGTTTGCTGGAGATCGAAAACGATGCCGGGACTTAGTTAGCGCGGCTGGTGGTTGTCGGAGCTACAGCCCTACTTCATGCACACCAGAGATTTTATTTATTATTTATTTAAAACAAACGAAGAGAACTTTCATTGCCAGAGGATAAAGTAACAACCAGCCCAGCCGCATGCGGCCTGGGCGGACACATTGTTACGACTGAGATCTATGCACGGCAGAGATTGATAAGATTGCCTCTCGAAGGGGGCCAACCATAAGGATTGTGGTCCCGCGGCAGACTGTACGGCAGCGGTGCTACGCGAGGAATCGCTGAGCAGCACAGCTTCAGTCTGGTACCGCTGAGCAGCACAGCTTCAGTCCTTTCGAAGCCAATTCACGAAGAAGACGACAATGTTCATGATTCTAACCCTAATCTACAGCCTCCTCCCATCCTTAATTCTTGTTTCATTTCCTGCTACTTTGTTTTCCGCCTTGATTGATACTTGAGTGAACTGATCGATTTGAGTGATTATTTATTTGTCTTGTTTTATAGTATTTCAAAATTTTGTTTTACTAGTCTTTGGGAGAAGTTGCCCCAGGAGGTTTAATCTTGTAGTTTGAATGGCAAAGTGTTACAAGGTATGACAACTGGTTTTAAGTTTTTTACGTAGTACAACAAAAAACCAGGATTGTAGTTGTTTTAGTTTTCCTAATTTTTAATTGTAGTCTATGTATAATAAATCCTGAAATAAATTTTTTGTATTTTGTTTTT